TTCCAAATCTATATAAAAACAAAAAATATTTCTGTATAAACTTATTTATAATTCTGTCAGGAGCTATTTGCAGTTACATCTTTGAACCAATGCATAAATGTTACATATATATTATATGTATAAAATAAAAAAATTAAAAACAAAGAATTAACATTAAAAATTTTTGATATAATTAATATTATATTGATGGAATTTACTTTTTTCATTGTGAGAGCGAGCGTTTCCGTGCTCGTGAAATCAAGCGTAGGCGCCACAAGTCTGTGGGTATTTCTGTCGATATAGATGAAATGCACTAGACCTGGAAACTCCTCAAGATATTTGTTGATAGTTAGGGAAGTTCTTGTGGAAAAACGCATAACATTAAGGAGATATACAAAATAAAAAGTTACACATGCAATAATGTTCTAATTTATATGTAAAAATTTAAATAATTTTTTTTAATTTAAATTTTTTTAAAGAAAAAATTATATAATTAAAATTTTGTATATTAATATCATTCTTTTACTATACTACTATTATAACACGATTCTTCTACATAACAACTTTATATTAGATTTTTTATATTAGTTGTTAGATTTTATGTAGATCGTTTTATAAATAACAATCTAAAAAAAAATTAGATTTAAAGAATATAAAATTTTATGAAACATTAAAAAAAATTGTTCAGGAAAGAAAAGTTACAATCGTGTCTCTTCAAGTTTAGAAAAGGATATGATCCTAGCGTGAAGTTTTTTAAAGCTTTGACTTTCAAGAAGTCGCTGAAATCATTTAACTTTTGTCTCACAAGTCTGCCAACCGTTGTCAAAACATCAATTCCTTGCTTCAGAAAATTCTTGTCAAAACAAGTCAAACGCAATAGTTCTTTCAAAGTCTCTACAAAGCCAGAAGTATTAGCTTCAATCTGTAGGACCACTTCGGGATCTCTGGAGCGCAGAAGATCACTGTACTTTTTTCGGACAAAATCCCATTTGGTCTGCAACCTTTTCTGACACATATCAACATCATTTCCGACATTCGAACGATTCTTTTTAATTCCTTCTAACACTTTTTTTATCGCTACATCAAGATTCTCAAAGGCTGGTTTCATCTCATCGATATCTCGTTGAAACTGCAAATTATTTATTAGATTTAAATAATGAAAACTGTCGCATAAACCTGAAGAAATGGACAGATTTGTAGCTTCAACGATTGTTATTAAGTTAATGGAATCTGATAATTCGAAGATGTGAACTGCATTGGCTGTATAGTTATGCTGGCAGCCGAGGAGAAACGATTGGCTGTAGAGATCATCGTCAGTTAAGGATGAGAGACCTTCGTTCATAGAAGATTCCCTGGAACCTCCTACAACATAATAAATAAAAGATAAGTATAATCTATTTAAATTAAAAGTTCGTTCTTTTTATTCACTAAAAAATTGTCATTATATCAATTGTCATTATATAAACGAAAATATATATCCATTATCAAAAATAACTGTGTTGCAAAAACCTACTAAAGAGATCCGTTATGTCCTCTGAAGTAGGAGTAGCCAGTTTAGCTCCGAAGTTTAATTTCGTTTCATCGCTTTTCAAAACGCTGCTTTCTGGTAACAAGATATCATCGCAGCAATCATCATTGCTTTCCGACTGATTTTGCTTTCGCTTTTTATTCACTACCCAGCATAGCAAGATCATCAATAAAATGTCCGAAGCGTACAGATCATGAGCATTTTTGCTAGAGTACAATGATAGAAACTTTGACCCCACTAGGAGCAGCAAATGCAGATTGCTAAATTCAGGTTGTGAATTTTTCAGCTTGTCGCAGGCATCATGCAGCACCTTGAGGACCGAAGATGCCACTTCCGCATTCACAGACAACTGTTCTACTGCTTCAGTCAACATGCTTTGTTCACAATTTCTTAGATTAGACCACGCATCCAACAGAGAAGATACTAAACACATCTTCTGCCAGTTGGTCTTTAATCTATAAAGATCAAAGCAATTAATCAGTCAATAATCATTGTAACTATTTTACTAATGATGATTGTCTAGTCACAACATACAATTGAACACTACATAATCTTTGACAAATAGAAATTTGCTAAATTCATAATCTTAAGGGAAGATTAAAAAAAATTTTTTAAATGCAACCTATTATATTAAGTATATTCCAAGTAATTAAACATTTTACATATTTTTTTATTTCATTTATCTACTGTCAGAGTTGGGTATGTATTTAAAATATTTTTGTATTAAATACTAATATTTGTAATTTAAATAATAAGATTGATTGCCAATCTTAGTATCTGAGGTACAAAATATAAAATACTTTTATGTTTTGCTGAAATACAAAATATAATTACTGTTACATACTGCTTTTCAAATAAAAAAAAAATTCCAAATACATGCTCACCTCTGTCTATTGCATTCTATCAATATTTAATCTACTAGTTGTATACTAACATTGCAATATCTGGACCACACACGTGTCGTACAATAGATACGCATATTCCTAGCGTATGTCTCATAAGCTCTACATCTTTTGCAACAATATACATGAATGTATAGCCAATGTACTCATCAAATACCATGTTAGTTCCATCCTGGAACTTCATGGAAGTATAAGAATTTCCGAACTGTGAAGCCATTACATGTTGTGAGGTGACTATGGGTGAAAACAACTGCATTATGATGTTGGGACTTGGTATAGAATTTTCCAAGTCTGTGATATCCTATAAGAAGTACTTGTTATTCTTTAAAAAATTAACACTAATCCATTACAAATAAATAATTGCTACCTTGAAATAATTTTTTCGTAGTCTTTTCATTCCTTCTTTCTTAAATATTCAGAGAAGAATTATAACTATAGCTCTAAGACCTGATTGCATCAATATTACTTTGATTTTAAACAAGGCTTAAAACTCTCTTTATCTCTGTCTTTTTTTAGGCTTTAAAACAAGATAGAGTTTTAAGTCTCGTTTGAAGTCAAAGTAACATTGGTGCAAACGAAGAGGTTGTAAAACTCACAAAATTAATCATTACGTCAATTACGTAATATATCAATTACCTTATCATCGAGCAATCCTTGTATCCTCGCCAGCTTCAAAATATGGCTTGCAAATTTTTTATTACATTTTACAAATAACACATCATTCAGATGGTCGAATATCAATATAGCTCTCATCTTGCTTTTGTGATTTAATGTGTAACTGTCATGTCACGTATCTCTACCATGTAAACAGAACTCCGTTTTCGTTGGATATTGTATTCTTATTGAGCATGCAAACACGCTGCTTATTGCTTATTATTGTTTACCTCGTTCGCTTTAAAACGTTTAGATTTAGGTCATTTTGACGTTGACAATTATCGACATCACCGTTATTGACATCGTGAAATTTACCGATCATCGGTACTTTATCTCGCAACTTTGATACTTATTACTCTACATTTTTATTCTACAATGTGCTTTTTTTCTATTTCTTGCTTTTTGTTTTCTTGCTCCTTGTATTCTTGTCGCACAGAACCAAGAAATAGGTCATGTACAATTTGTTTTTTCTGAATTATTGAAGAAAAATGTTGCTTCACTGAGACCAGTATTTAAAGTCCATTCTCATATTACTATTCTATAGTATTCTTATTGGCTAATAATGTTTAAACTCATTTTTACAAAGACAATCTAGTTAATATATAAACTATGATGTAAGATAAATCAAGTAAAGCTGGAAACACAATAAAAAGCACAGGCAATAGAGAATAAGATTTCAACTTATCAGAAACCATGAATAATAGAATGAACGCTTTCTGATAGGTTGAAATCTTTTATTCTCTGTTCCTATTGCCTGTGCTTTTCATTGTGTTTCCAGCTTAATAGATAAATGAAACAACAGATAAAAGAAACAAGAAATACATTAGTCGATAAAACGGTTGCAAAAGAGAAAATAGCAAAAGGTAAAAAACAAGAAACAGGAAAAAAAAGCATATTGTGTAGAATAGGCTTAAAGCAAAAAATCAAATTCTCAAAAATAATTAAAAAATCAAAAACAAAGTGGTAACTAAATACAATTAAAATTCCAAGAATGAATTCTTAGAGATTAAAAAATCATGAATCATATAAATTTAAACTCTTAAAAATCAATAAAACAGAAAATATAATAAAGTTGATTTAATTAAAATTCTATGAATTGCGAAATAAAAAATTCGTAATATTTCAATTCTATTCAAATAGCGATAAAAATTAAAAAATTATATTGCATTGTGTGCATGTGTGTGTGATGACACATGTAAAAGGATCAACTTAGTCAATTAATCGATAGATTCTGGGTTTATAATTCCAAACTGTTTTACATTAAATTAATTGGAAACTTATGAATGAAGGAAAACACAGTGACACATTTCATCCATATTTTAATTATTCACTATTCATTTATGCTATGTTTACATACAAAAGTTACTCCGTTTAATCTATTTTATTATGAAATAAGTTTTTAATTACATCTACATTCCCAGCAAACGAGAATGGATTAAAATGAATTGAAATTTTTTTCTATATGAATGCGTATTTTATAAATAGCGAATACTTTTTTTGGATTTAATTGGATTCAATTAAATTCAATTAGATTCAATTAGATGCAATTGAATTGAAAAACTGCATTCAAAATTTTGAATTGAACAGTATTCATAATATGTGTGTTGTGCTCAGAAAAAGCTAATATTATTTTTAGATTGAAAGGCATAGAGATATGCTCCATGCAATTCCTATAAATAAATAAAAATGCATTCAGGATTAAAAAACATTCATTTTAACATTCATAAATATTTCTTAAAATTTGAATCCATTTCAATTCATTTCAATTTTCGTTTGCTGGAATTTTCAATTATTTCGATATCTTAAATATAAAAAAGAAATTTAAAAAAATGAAAATTAAAGATTTAAAAATACAAAAAAAATTAAATTCTTAATAATAAAATTTGAAATGATGCGTTATTTCAGTAAAAATACAATTAAAATTTAGGCAAAACACATGATCGTTAATTAATATATCGAATGTTCATCGTGTTAAAAATATTATTAAAAGTGTTGGGCATTATATCGATTATTGTAGATTCCAATTCCTCTGCCATTAACAAATCCTGTAAAATCCATTTGTATTGTATCAATCTGCGCATATAAATATTAATTACATGATGCAAGCTTACTGAGATGAGGTTGTTGATGATATATATTCGGTGGAAATGGCATAGGGAGTACGGATCCTGGAAAAACAGGCATAAGCATGGGTGGTACTCGAGGTATCGGCATCAGCATTGGTCTAGGTAAACGCTAAAACAAATATTGGTTGTAGAAACAGTTACTTAAATATGTGATAAACTGCTCGATACTATTCAGGTAACTGCAGTTCAATCCTGTATATTTTATATTCTTTTCGACATTGATTGAAATAAAAGCATTATTTTCTTTTCTGAACATTAAAATTAGTTGAACTTACTATGTAGGAATTATAGAAGCTATCCGAGGAAGAATGTAACTTTGAAGATGCACGATTATCTAAATTGCATGATTGATCAGAATAATTTCTTTTAGATGAAAATTTTCTTATTTCGTTATTGTCTTTCTTCCTTTCTCTATCTCGTTCACTGGTTAGTGAACGACTTCTACTTCTAAAAGAGAAAAATACTTTTATATTCTCGTTACACAATAAAAGTTTTACATATTTTACTAAAATTATGACTTCATTAAAATAACTTCAATATAAACACAGAAAAATTTGCATTCTATAATAATATACAAGTCCGTCATGCATGCATAACTCTCTAAACATACATTATTAAAAATTTTTTCTGAATTTAACATTTTCTTTTATTTTTGCTTGTATCTATTTATACTTTCTTTTTCTCATTTCTTTATATCTATAACAATTTTATTTTGTACCTGTAATGAGATCTCGACCGATCTCTAGTGAAAGATGCACTATGATTACTATAATGTAATGAACTTCTATTTCTTCTTTCATTTCTATCTCTATCTTTCTCTTTGCTTTCCCTTGTTGAATTATGTAACCTTCTGGAACGTAAGAAACTCTAACTTTATTTATGTATAATACATATATATTATTTATGAAATATTTATAAAAATTATTGAAATTCTTATAATCTTTCAATTATGACAGATTTTCTCCAGAGTGTAAATAATAATAATAATAATAATAACTTTGTTGAGTGCAACATAAATTAAAAATTAAGAAATAATAAAATTTCATACAAACAACATTTATTATAAAAATGTAGACTTGTTTATCATTTAGCAATTTATTAATTCCTTATTCATTAATGAAAAAATTGGGACCAACCTGTCGCGATACCTTTTATTATCATCTATTCGATCTTTGCGACACATAGTTGACTTGTAGCATAGTTTTGAGCTAGAATAACTGTGTTAATGTTACTAACATGTACAGTAAATTACTATTATTGCAATATCATTGTTTACAAACTTAAATGAAATAATTATCAAACTATGAACAACCGATTTTATATTTATGAGTTATATATTTATAATTGGAAAGTAAAAAATTATATGATTATCAAGATTTATATTAAATACTTCAATATAAAATATAATTTTAAAAATATAAATTTAAAAAATATATAACTATACACAAAAATTTTTAGATATTGACAATAAATAAATTCAGATTCAATAACTAACAAAACAAGATATATATAATCCAGATAGCAAGGTGATGTTATTTTAATGTCAAGATAACGACAAATAACGTCAGCTAGCTACTTGGATACATCTGTACATAACTTTATATCCATAACACACATATTCATGTATAACTGGAAATAAAAGATTAATAAATTTAAAATAAATATTTAATTGCACAATTCACAATCTCAAAAAAAAAAAATCAAATGTAAAAAATTTTCAGATACATGTAATGAATACATTCATATTCAATAAGCAATAAAAGAAATAAAAACATTCTTTGTTAAAAAACTTATTTAAAAATATTTAAATAAGTAGTTCAAACAACTTTATATCCATAATATATTGGTATGTTTAATACATACTCTATTCAGAAAGTAAAATTATGTTTATACCGTAAAAATAATTTCGAAGATCTATGATTTTTCGCTCATAATAAAAAATTTTATATATTTACAAAGTTCATATTAATGATAAAAAATATATATTCATAGATTTTTCGGAATGTAGAATGTTGTCACTAATTTAATATTGAATATTACTACAATATACATCAATACATAAATCATTATTTTTTTCTATAATAAATTTATAAAATATAATTTTTACTTACATTGTTTTACTTTCTAGATTTATTGAATAAATTCTTAACTATATAGACACCTTTTTCTTCCTCCTTTCTTTCCTCTACTTTCACTACTCTTTTTTTATAATAATTATATATATATTCTCTTACCTGTGTTATTACAAAATTTACCTGATCTATAAATTTTTCATTAAATGACTTCTTTTCACCAATTATAAACCTTGCTGCAAATTTTATAATAGATAATAAATGCAAAAATTATAAAAATACAATGTTATAATATATATATATATATATATATATA